GACATCTAAAAAATTACACTCATTCGTAGATTGGCAAGACTATTTTGCCAGTTTGGACATGCAAAATATTATATTGTTTGCATATTTGAGTTAATCATTTGTTTGGGATTTATCCCTAACTACTTGAATTCGATTTTGAATTTTTTATCCGGATTTTTATATGTTGTTTGGGAATTATCCCTGACTACGTAAATTGAACTTGATCAGATTTTTTAAATTTTGTCACGGAAAAATCCCCGACTACGTATATTAAATAGCGGTCGATTTTTTTGTCATGAATTTAGTCAGGGATATGAATCCCTGACAATTCTCGCAGGCGACCGGCAGTCGGTTGTGGAGAATAAATCCCTAACAATTCGCTGACAACGTTTGTCACGGATCTGGAATCCCTAACAATAGTTTTGTCAGGGCGTTGGAGTCTGGGATGTGATCCCTGACAAAATCTCTAACAAAAGCATTTGTTAGGGATTTCTTGAACTGTGATCCTTAACAAAATCCGTGACTATTCCAGTGTTTTTTGTAGTGTAAATTATAACTGTTTTTGGGTGCAGCATCTTGCCTTTATTGCTGCCATTTCGTCCACCAAGGAACTAAGTACATTTCGTGTGGCGGTTGGTGATCCAAATTGGCATGCTGCCATGCAAGATGAAGTTAATGCATTGGAGCGCACCGGCACGTGGAAAATACATGAGCTTCCCCTGGTAAGACACCTATTTTTTGTAAATGTGTTTATAAAATCAAGTACAAGAGTGATGGCAGTGTTGATCGCTACAAAGCCAGACTCGTAGTCTGTGGTAAGTGGTAACCGCCAGGTACAAGGAATTGACTATGACGAGACTTTGCTCCCGTTGCCAAAATGGTCACGGTACGTACTATTTTGGCTATTGCTGCATCCCAAGGATAGGAGACCACATGCTTGCACACGTCCAAAAATACACATTAACAATCGAAGATTTTAGACTCCTAACTTATTGTAATGATAAGTTCAATGGGGAGTCAAAAGTGGAAAACGTGATGCAGAGGGCTAAAATTAGAGGATGGGTTAACAGGAGGGAAAGAAAAGGAAAAAGAAACAAGAAGGGGAAGGGTGAAGCCGATAGCTCATGAATGGAAGGGTGGATGACAGTCATACCCGCGTCATTATAATCCCAAATTTTGGAGAAACTATATCAAAATATATCAAAATTCATGATTTTTAGATCTTTTATATGACATCAATATGTAATATTATATAAAAAGAAAAAAATATGAAGTGTTAATTTTTGGAGTTTTATTGAGTCCAAAAAAATGAAACACAATTTTTTAATTCTTGGAGCCTCAATAAATAGCTGAATGTTCCATAATCGAACTTACTTGAACTAAGTTCATTTTTCCTAACCAAAAAATGTTAAAAAAATAATGACATTTGTTGGGTTAAGGGCCCAAGCCGAGGTCCGGCCCACTAACCCATATTGCCAGACGCACGTCCAGTTAGAACACCAGGCCAGCCCACAGGCCCATGTCCCTTGAGGATGGACGAACGTCTGATGTTGGGGGCTCAGGCCCAGCAGACTCATCCCGACGAACGGCTGTGCGGGGACAAGGAGCAGGACCACGGGCCACCAGGGATGGCGACGAACGTCCCCGGGGCAAGCCTGTAGTCATCGGAGGGGACCCAGTTCACATGGTGAATATCTACAAGGCCAGGAGACGAACAGCCGATATCTTTCGAGGGTCACTTGGAGCAATCCAACTCACTTCCCGGGAGGACGAACGTCCCCACTAATCAGGCGGGAAACCTAGATTCTGGCGGGAAGTGCATTTAATGCTGAAGATTTGGTAGTTGGGACACCAGCGGTCCACAGGCTGCCACGTCAGTACAGCCACCTGCCCATTGGTGGGTATAAATAGAAGCATTTATTTCATTGTAAGAGGTTGGCAACTTTCTATTCTTAGCATCCTGGCTATTGTATTCTTACTCGCAGCATCTCTACTGCCTTGTAAGACGAACGGCCGACGTGGCCTTTTTAGCAAGTAGATTGTACTTAGGGGAGTTATTACGAAGTTAATAATACCTATTTACATTGCCTGCTATTACTTTTGTTTCCTGATCCATCTCATAGTTGTTGGGCTAGATATTCTTACACTTACTCCACTCGAAATCTTTGGGCTTACGTGTTGGGTCCAAGGGTTGAAGGAATAAACCTCAACAACATTTATTTATTTTAATATTGAAATGTGTATTTTTCATTTCATAATTTAAAAGGAAACATTACTTATAATAATATAATTAATATTTTACCAAATTGATATGTAAAAAATATGCTGAATTTATTTGATCTACGATACTCAAATGAAAGAAAATTGGCCTTTTTATTCTAATATTACTAAAAGGAATTAAAAAGTCCAAAAAGTGGTCTGGTTTAAAATTTTCCAAAGATGTGACGAAAGTCATTTATTCTTTTTATTTAATCATACATTTATTATTTAAATATTTTTTTTTAATATTTGATTAGTAGTCCATATTTTCCAGCCAGCAGCACCTCCGTGGCTGCTAACACCAGCAACCCCGCCGTCGCCGCCGCCACCTCCACCGCCGCTGCCGCCGCCACCTCCACCGCCGCCGCCGCCGCCGCCGGTCACTATCTCAGTGACTCCGGCCAAAGTGACTCCGCCAAAGTGACTCCGGCCAAAGTGACTCTGCCAAAGTGACGCCCGCCCACCGGCCATAGTGACCACTGTTCCGGCTACAATGACTAACGCCGCCTCCGTGACTCACCGCCTCAGTGACTCGCCGCCTCAGTGACTCGCCGCCTCAGTGACTCGCCGCCTCAGTGACTCGCCGCCGCAGTGACTCGCCGCCGCAGTGACTGCCGCCTCCTTCCTCCGGCCGGCAAGCCACCCTTTCCAGCCCCAGCCAGATGCCCCTCCCTTGCTCTTGCCCCTGCCCCATGTCCGTACCCCCTCTTCGAAGTGCCACCCCATCCTTCCAGCCCAACTCTAACGCAGCAACCTAGCCACGACCTGCAACAGCTGCTCCATCGAAGACGACGACGAATGTGTCCAATGACGACGACGAATGTGGAAAAAAACGACGATTCAACAGATCTAGGTTTACATATTTGTCGCGATTGAGTTTTAGGGGGGTTGGAGAAGGCGGAGATGGCGGTTTGAAATAGACGATGACCTCAGTTCCACCGCCGCTGGCAAAACAGCAGATGCGGTGACCTCGGAGGAGAGGTTTGTTGGTGTCAGCGACTCTCACAGCGGTGGACGGCGACGGCGCGGCACTTCCTGAGCTCCAGTCGCACACTGGCGAACTCCATGGTTGGGGATGAGATGAAATGCGAGAGTATAATTTAGGGTTGGGCTGATTTGGGCCTTTGATATTGGATGAGGGATGCGAATGATGAAAGACGTAAGGCACGGTCAGTTTTTTAGAAAAAATGAAAAGAGTCATAAATGTTGAAATTGAAAGTCAATTAGTGATTCCCGTGCCATTTTTTCAAGAAAATTGAAGTTTAAATATTGTTTTGATATGAATGAACTTTTTTATTTTATTTTAATCTCTCCATTAAAATAATAGCGTAAAGTATAGTCAAAGTAGAACATGTGAATAGAATAAAATTCAACATGTTGCGATAAAAAAAGGAGAACAGTACATAGTTGAGAGAAAAGTGTTGAATTGGTACATTAACTTGATTTTTTTTGGGTTGATTCAGTACACATTTGATTCTAACGTTAAAAAAGTTGACATGGCAGGAAGGAGCCGTTTGTTTCTACCGTCACTATCGAAGTCAGCAAATATCACTCCTATAATGCCTAATAAATCCTTCCCGCAGCTTTACTACATCCTCTGCTATTTTGATGCCTTCTCTCTTCCTCTACGCTACTGAATCTCCTCTTCTTTATTCCTCTGCTTTCTCTCTTCTTCTTCGCAGCTGTATTTTTTGTTTTATTTTCTTCTTCACCTTATCTTCTTCTTCACATAATTCCGCTGGTTTGAATTTTATATCATTAGCAGAGCAAACATGTCTTATGGTCATTATGGATTATTGTGCTTGTGGAAATTCTTTGAAAACATTGACTTCATGGACAGATGACAATTGAGGGAGACATCTTATTACACGTTCAAGGCTGAAGATATGGCTCTTACAAGATATTAGTTTGATCGGCCTTATCTTTCTTTAATTTGTCCTATTTTTCAGTTTGTTATATATGTAGTTCATTTATTTTGTTATAATTTTTGTACATGTGTATTGATTTTTAGGCATATGGTGATGCAACACATTTGAATGGATTGATCCTGAAATGTATCCAAGGAGCAAGACAATTATACCTGGTTTATTGAGGAAAGTAAACAAGCTCCAAATTGAGCTTAATGAACAAGGAATGAGGAAAAAAAAGAAGACATCCCTGGTGTTGTTCTGTAATAGGAGAATAGATGATATTGCTTTTAGGGTCATTCTTCTTAGCAATGACACTAAAAAGAACAAGCTAAAGTGGAAAATGTGCTACAATCCCATAGATGATTAGGCCAATATTTGTATGGTGTGAAGGATTTATGTTGTGATGTGTTTGTGTAGGTAAGTGGTGTGAGATTTAGTGAGTATGATAGTTGGTTGTTTACTGAGTTTCTGGAAAATGTAACTTGCAATTTAAATTAGTGAAGTCTTATATTTATTTGACTTTTAAATCAATAAATCGAGTGTTCAATATTATTATTGCCGATTTTTAACCTGTCCATTTCAAAGTTCACATTCTGAAAAATTACATTTATGCATTGCTTTAAATTCATTATTGTTGCAAGGGATGTGTATCTAGATGTAGTAAAGAACTTTACAAAGGTTACTAGAAATGACCCATTAATTTTAGTGTGAATCTTTCTACCATACTTCAAAAAACTAGTTAAAAATTATTGTCCCCGTTATACAAAAGCTGTAGTTACATACAAGGCTCAATCGCATAGACAAGAAAAAATTGCACACACAAAAAAGACAACATTCCAGAACAAAGGAACATTCAATGAAATTAGCACTTCCTTCTTGCAAAAAATAGTTATCAAACATTCAAAATGTATCTAAACAAAACTATTACATACCGTATGTATCTAACAAAACAACCTGCTACTTGAGGTAATGTATACAATTTGTAGCTTACATAAAGGTAATGCATACAGTTTCCAGCTTCAACTAGCAATTGCTGATACAAGTGGTAAATAACAAAAAAGAAACTCCTACTTTAAAGACTTTTAGCTACTGCTGCATGGGGTAAATAACTTGGGACATGTCGGGCCCAGAATTTTCCATTGAATCAAACAGTTGATGGAATCTGGGTCTTGCTATTTCACTTTGGTCACCATTTTCCACTTCTTGAGAAATTTCCATTTCTGTGATATGCCTTTTCCTAGAAGGTCTAGCATTTTCAGCAACTTGTTGGCTTCTAGACTTCAATCTCTGTGAGAATGGGCGATGCATTTTCAGTCATGTGTAGTCAAAAATGAAAAGGGAACATTTTATACTAATCTTACCTCCAAACGAGTTGCAGTGATGGTATTGTTGCCTCTCCACTGAAACACGCCGCCATTATCCGGATGGATCATCTCTTGATTATCATTGAAATGTATTTGTAATATTCTGTTAGGAGGATCTGATGGTTCTTCTGAGGGTTCATTTGCAGTGTTGGTTTCCTAAAAATCAATAAGCACAATTATCAATTATCACTTTCAACAAACTAAAACCTATTCTTTTTTCTTTTCTTTTTTTCATTTATGTGCTCTACATATGGATCATTCCATTCTCTTAAATCAGTGTCATATACAAATAATTGAATGTGAGAATGTCATGTAATTATAATATACAAATAGATGAACTTTTTTTAAACCTATTCTTTTTTCTTTTCTTTTTTTCATTTATGTGCTCTACATATGGATCATTCCATTCTCTTAAATCAGTGTCATATACAAATAATTGAATGTGAGAATGTCATGTAATTATAATATACAAATAGATGAACTTTTTTTAAACCTATTCTTTTTTCTTTTCTTTTTTTCATTTATGTGCTCTACATATGGATCATTCCATTCTCTTAAATCAGTGTCATATACAAATAATTGAATGTGAGAATGTCATGTAATTATAATATACAAATAGATGAACTTTTTTTTAAACCTGGAAGGCAAACCACCAAAATCAGTGGGGCAAATGCCGCGGAACGTTTGTCAAGTTTTATTAATAGGAAAGCGAAGTACAAGAAGAGAGGAGGACCAGACCAAAACCTCTCTGGAGGCATACCTCCAATTAATCAACCAAGAATAAAAAGCAAGAACGAAATAGATGAACTTAAATAGATACATATAGTCAAAACCTTATGTTTTCATCAACAAAGAAGAATGACAATTTAAAAAAACTGACTACTAACTTCCTCATGTCTTTTATAGCCTCATAATACCATACGCTTGGGCTTTTTTATACCCATGATGAAGTTTATTTTTAACTAAGAAATTGAAGTCATACAATGATAATTGGGAAAAAAGAGGCAGCTCCAGCTTTAGTGATACAAAACAGAGAAAATGGTAAAATTCCAGATTTTTTCTAGTTCATCTAGTTTTGACAAAATCGTCCACTACCAGAGTTTGAACAGTTAGATTTTTGTGATTATTCAACTAAGGTTTGCAGTTACATATTTCTTCATTCTGAACGGTGGAGATCTGGTTTGGAGGTCTGAAGGGTTGTCTTTCGCCTAGACAGATTAGTGACATAATCCTCTCTGTTTTTCTAGACCTGTTATTTAATCTTTTGGTTAGTTTCTGTTCCCATAACCTTGAAGGGTATTTTTCATTCGAGCTAGGAAGGCTCAACGAAGAAGCTTTACACTTCATTACCATTTTAATGTGTTCCTAATACTTGTTTCTTTGTTCACAGGTAGCCTTTCACACCATATATTATGTCAAATATTGTTTTTAACCATGTATTCTTCCATATATTATTAGCATAAACATTGAATTTTGAATATTTCTTTTAATTTGTAGCATCATAAAGCCAATATTTTTTTTATTCAACAAACAAAATAGAATTCAGCTTTGTAGTGTAATATCGCTACTACTTTATCATTTGAATGATATTATTATTTATATAAAAAAAGAGAACTAACCATAGCAGATAAAATAATCTAAAATTCACAAAGAGGCCATAAACACGAATTATAGCGCGAACATACCATTCTTACGATTTATCATTCTCCATTATAGAATCAGTTCACTGCGTTGCCTGCGTTTCTCCTTCGTCTCTTGCGTTTCTCCATTATTCGTCCAGCCTTTGTCATTTGCAGTTTTCTTTAGAGATACTATCCCTTCGTCTATGTTGAGGCACCGAACAGGCGAACAGGTTAAACTCTAGGGTTTTAATTTTGTTTTATTGAAGACTAACGTAACTGAAATCTAACTTAGAGTAAAGGTGACGTCTCACTTTTTAAACACCTTAGCAACAGTCTTAACCATGTCACCGTTCTCATCAAAAAATTCAGCCATGTCATCGTTTTGTAACGTCTGAATTACAGACGTACTTAACTGACACTAAAAACTAAAGTTTATGTACTTTTAGGTATCACTTGTAAAATGATGTACTCTTTATGCTATACTATCCTCCGTCTCTTTTTAATCGCAACATGTTGAATTTTACACTATTCACATGTTCTACTTTGACTACATTTTATGTTATTATTTTATGAAAATTATTATTTTAAAAAAATATTGTTCAATTCATCTCATTACAAATTTTCAAAATCTAATTTTTAAATATTTTTTACTAATAAAGATTAATATATAATTACGGTCAAAGACGTGCATTGGCAAGTGTGAAATGTTGACCGTTGCAACTAAAAAAGAACGGAGGAAGTATGACACAAGTTAAAGTACCATTTTGATACTTTTCTCATATAGTTCACGTTATCACGCATTCACGCATGCTTCTTTTAACAGCGGTTCACGTTATCACGTATGCTCTTATACAACTATACAAGCAATACAGAGTAATACTACTTGATGGTTTTATTTTATATAGTCACTAGGTTTCAAGCCCGTGCGGTGCACGGGTAGTACATTTTGTCCTACTACTTACTCCGTATTAATTTGGATAGTTATTAAATTAAGCAATTGGAACCACAACAATAAATAACCATATGTGTAGTAATAATAAAGCTAGACAAACAATGAGTCAATGACTAAAAGTACATTTTCACTAATAATAATCATAATTTCATACGGTATGTGTAATAGTGTGGTAAGTAAACAAAAATTAATAGATGTCTTTAAAAGTCAATTTACAAGTTATCAGTTTAATTATAAACAGCCAAATAAACAAACACGTTTTTGCCAACTGCTAATGCTATCGGCTAATCAAAACAGCCAACATAAACCGTTGTCATCAATCAGCTAACTCAATCGGCTAACAGCCAACAACCGATTGCCAAACACCCCTATTTAATTATTTTTATACCTTTTATTACATTCTACTATTGAAAAATAAATTATCCCTGTTTTGCCCACCTAACAGATAAATCATCCAAATTCCTATTAATTTTGTTCTTCAAAGTTATTTTATAAAAAATAAAAAAAAGTAATAATAGTGTTCAATTTCCTAAAATGTGATATTTTATTTTTCTAAACCCGATCTTTTTTTTGAATGTTTTCTAAATTCAATGTGATAACAACTAAAATTACAAGCCTTAGATTTGCAATTGCGTTAATACGTCGTACTTTGCTGCATCTTCTTACCATTCTTTTTTAGTTGTTGAGATAAAGATGGAAAATATAACCACAAGATTTTCTTAACTTAAAAATGAAATTGATATATACTATTAGACGTTCATATATGGAAACATTTAAAACTTCTGATCAAGTAGCTTACCTTTATTTGGATGGAAATTCATATCATACATATAAATATATATATTTGTACAAGTAAATATGTTTATTTGTTTCTTTATTTTTACAACTACAATTTAAATATTGCTTCACTTTTGAAATAGATTTCTAATCCAAATTAGGAAATCTTCATACATTTAGGATGCTTTTAATTGGACCGATTTCAGTCTCAGACAAGATCGGATTAAACATCAATCATAATAATAATAATGATAATATAATAATAATAATAATAATAATAATAATAATAATAATAATAATAATAATAATAATAATAATAATAATAATAATGAATATTATTATTATACATACATAAAATAGACATCTTTCACACTGTACTACTCCAGACCAAATTAGAACTGAAAAATGTCAATCTAATAAAAAAAATCCTTACTAATGACGTTTTTAATGTGACGAAATAAATGAGTAAATTGTAAAATATGATCCATTTTTTACATTTTCAATGTGACGAAATAATGAGTAAAATGTAAGATCTCACTAATAAAATTACAAAAACTTATTTCATACCATGTTGAATGAGAAATATTTTAAAAAATAGTGTTTTGAGATGCTTAATGAAGTCATATAAAGGATGTGAAATTATTCAAGAAACTTTTGTGTGAATTCTTTAAAATCGGGTTCATAACAATTATGTTTAATTGAGACGCTTATGTAGAAGTTCATTTTAAATATTTTTCATATAAATTTTAATTTATTTTATTAATTATACACATAATACGTAGTATATTTTATTTTGCTTTTTCATAATTTGGGAGATTCTGTCCATTTAGCCCAATTAGTTATATTTAATTCATTACTGTAAAGTCAGACAATTCAACCAATTTTAGTACATAGTATTATCTAACGCCTTTATATTAGACTGAATTTATTTTTCTTTTGTATCACGTTAAATTATATATGATTCCGAAAATATCAAATTGACAATTAGCTAAATATGTACTGCCCGTGCGATGCACGGGTAGTTCATAATTTAGCTAATTTTAAATTTGATATTTTCGAAATCATATATAATGCGATGCAAAATAAAAATAAACTCAGTCTAAATATAGAGTTCGTTTGATGATAGTAAAATTAGCGAAATTAGCTTATTTTACTGAAATTGATTAAATTCGGGTTGAATCACTTGAATGGGCTGAATAGGCAGAACTTCTCGAATCATGAAAAAAATTAAAAAATATTTCACTTATAAAATAAAGAGACAATTATATGGAAAATATTCAAAATGTTCTTTTACATTAGCATCTCAACTAAACACAATTGTGGTGAACCCAATTTTAAAGAATTCACAGAGAAGCTTGTTAATTAATCTCATGTCTTCTAAATTATTATATTATGCACCTCAATTTTTTTCATATTCCTCATTGAACTTGGTATGACCTATGGAGTATTTACTTTTAACTTTTAATAGTAAGATCTTACATTTGACTCATTATTTCGTCACATTGAAAATGTAAAAAATGGAGTTTTTTTTACATTTTACTCATTATTTCCTCACATTGAAAATGATTTTTAATTGTTATGAACGTCTAGATTACATTATTGAGCATTTCAAAATAATATTTTTCTAATATTTCTCATTCAACATGGTGTGAAATAGGTTTTTTTTAAATTTTAATAGTGAGTTAGGTTCTTACATTTTACTCAACGTGGTACTCCGTAGTAAAATAAAGAAATGAAACAATCCAACATATTTACTTTTGGCTAGACTGAACGTATTAACTTGTGAACCCACATATGCATGTATGATATCAACTTTCATCCTTATTAAATAATAAAGATGAGCTACTTGATTAGAAGTATTCTCTTTATATGATTCTATATATGAATGTCTAATAATACTAATTTCGCTTTTAATTTCAAACTTTTGGTTGTTATAATTTTCATTAATGTGTTAATAATTAAGAAAGAATTATATGAAGATGTAGAAAAATACGAAGTATTAACACAGTTTCAAATCTGTAGCTTAAAATTTTAATCATGATCTCAACATTGAGTTTAAAAGAATAAAATATAACATTTTAGGAAATAGGATACTATTAATACTTTTTTTATATATAAATAATTTTGAAGACAAAATAAACATCAATTTGGCTGATTTATCTATTTTTTAGAAACTGGTTTGTCTGTTAAGTGGGCAAAACAAAGATACTTTATTTCTTCAATAAAATGTAATAAAAAATAAGAAGTATAACAATAATCAAAAAATTATACGTGCATATAAAAGTACTTTATAAAAAGTACTCCACTTCATATGGTTGGTTATTAATTATTGTGATTCCAATTAATAAATTTCACAATTATTAAATACGTAATAGGTTTTGAAAAAGTTTCCAAATAAGGTGGATTTTTATCATAAAATCTTTTGTTTCCATATCAATATGCAATCAAAAATAGAATCTAATAAAATAAATAAAAGATACGGAATGTTAAAAAATTAAATGATGGACGACATGACATGATTATGTGGCACTTTGTATGCTCTTAAAAAGTTCCTCTTTTATATATATATATATATATATTGATATTGATTTTACTTTATTGGGCTTGCAAAGTTAGACCGATTCCATGCTTGGCCCATCACGGCCAAATAAGGAATTATGGAGTAATTGGCCTCTTGCAATGCATGGTTGCCCATAAGGCCATAACCACTAAGGTCCAATTGTTCAAAGGCCACACCTTGCCAGGAAATATCTCCAAATATCATAGATGGTCGGCCACAACAGAGATATACTACTCCGTACTACATGTTATCTTAGTCCCAATGGACTTTATCAAATTCAAAGTAGATGAGGAAAAAGAAAAGTAAAAATTGTGTAATGAAAGTTTGTGTAGAGGAGAGAGAAATGAGCAGAACTACAAATTAATTGTTTTAATATGAAAGTGACAATTTTTTTTGGGATAACAAAAAACGAAAGCAGACAAACTCCAATGAGACGGAAGGGGTAAGTATTACATATATATACACACATAGCTACCCTCTAACTTTTATTCTTTGCTCGGAATTTCTATCACTAATACTTCCCAAGGACAATGAGAATCCTATTTTGGACCATTTGTCACCTATAAAGTTACTTAGGGTTTTGACTCGATCAAGATGGTATCTAAACTCCTTTCAAAGTTGTAGTAAGAGGCAATAAAATGGTTATTTCTGAAACAAAAAAATCCATGATGCACAAGATTAATTTTAAACTCAACTTCGCCGCACAAATCTTCAGGTTCATCTCTCAACTCTCAGGAATTGATCACCTTAAATTTAGGTAGCACAGGAGATTTAGTGCTATCACGTTTCAACATAATCCAACAAATCAGTACTTGAAAATGACTAATTAAGGAAAAAGGGAGTTTTATTTCTTATTCCAACGGGGCCACAAAAATCCGGCATGCTTGCATTTCTGGCCATTTTTTCAAATTTTGCGGGATAACTATTTTATAGCCCGTTTGGTGACCCTTTTTTTGACTTAGTAGGTTTATCAGCCAACTTTTTCATCAAACACGTAATTTTTGATTTCAC